CGCCGTATTCTCCAGACGTTGCTCCCTCTGACTATCACTTGTTTCGATCAATGGCACACGGCCTGGCTGACCAGCACTTCCGGTCTTATGAAGAAGTAAAAAATTGGATCGATTCGTGGATAGCCTCAAAAGATGACTAGTTTTTTCGACACGGGATTCATACGCTACCCGAAAGATGGGAGAAAGTAGTGGCCAGCAATGGACAATACTTTGAATCATAAATGTATAACCAGTTTTTTACAATAAAGCCTCGAATTTCGGAAAAAAAACGGCGGAAGCAAAGTTGTACACCTAATATTATTTTTATAATAATATGAATAATATAATTGTCAAGAGAAATACAATTATTTTTTGTTAATATAATTATTGTTATTTTTAATTTTGAAAAATAATAGAATTACTATATATTATAAAATTGTATACTTAGAATATATCCTTAAATGGTATTAATCCTGCAAATGTTGCACTGTCAATATGTTTTTATTTATAGGATTGAGATTTATTTGTGGAATCCATCGACAAAATATCATTGTTACTACTCATATCATATTTAGTAGATTCTGTACTACTTACTGAAGTATCTCTTCACAATCTTTTTTCAGTTTGTATCGAAGTTTCTCTTGCATTGCTCTGCTGCATCAGTTATCGTAGCAGATTTTGTGATACAATTATTATTTGCATTTTTATTCAATTGGCTCTCTATATTATTTATGTGTAATGCTTCTTTATTAATTTCTTTGCATAGTTCGAATTTATCATGAAAGCTCGTAGTACGCGATTGAGATGAAACATTTCCTAATCTGTTAAAATGTAATCTGATTGATCAACATTAAAATTTCGAGTTTCCATAATTCCAGGATTACCATAAAAATTGGATGATTCTGTATCATTATACAATTGATAATCCGGTATAGCATAATTTTTATAAGGTACCTGGCAAATATTAAAATTTGTAGGTGAATAATAAAATTGAATAGCGTTTCTGGCTTGTCATTATTTTTTTCTAAAATATTTTGTATCGAAGGGAAGAGATATTTGATTTGCAATTGACTTGATATGACTTGTCCAGCAAAAATGTAATTCTTTTCAATAATGTCGAATCTGTTTTGGTCCATATAACGGATTTTCAACAATCTCCTGTCTCTTTTCATTTTCATCTGTACTTCCTGAACAAATTTTATATTCGCGGAGATTACTTGATCCTGCAAAATTATCATTTATTCCGGTAATGTCTAGTCTATTTTGGTCATATAACGGATGACTTTTTGCAGGAATCTCCTATCTTTTCTGATTTTCGTTTCGATTTTTTGATTTTCTATTCTTATTTTTTTCTATTCTTTATTTTTTTTTCAACGC